AAAAAAAAAAAAAAAAGACAGACCAGGCTGGGCAACACAGCAAAATCCTGTTTCTACCAAAATTTTTAAAAATCAGCCAGGAGTGCTGTCTAGTCCTAGTTACTTGGGAGGGTGAGTCAGGAGGATCACTTGAACCCAGGAGTTCAGTTACCGTGAGCTGTGATCATGTCACTGCACCGCAGCCTGGGTGACAGAGCAAGATTCTGTCTCAAAAAACAAAAAAAGAGAGAAAGAGAGAGGGAGAGAAAGTAAAAGTAGTAACACAGAGAAAACCCAAAATATTAGGAATATAATCCAAAGTGACATTGGCTGGGTGCGGTGTCTGTAATCCCAGCTCTTTAGGAGGCTAAGGTGAGCAGACCGCTTGAGCCCAGGAGTTAGAGACCTGCCTGGGCAACATAGAGAGATCCCGTTTCTACTAAAAATATAAAAAATCAGCTGGATGTGGTGGTGCATGCCTGTCGTCTCAGCTAATCAGGAGGCTGAGGCATGGAGAATCACTTGAGCCTAGAGGTTGAGGATGTAATGAGCTATGATCACCACTGTACTCCAGCCTGGGTGACACACTGAGACTCTGTCTCAAAAAATAAAAATTAAATTAAAATAATATATAAAATAATAATATCATACTTAACCTATCCAGATGACAATTTTTTTTTTGGAGACAGGGTCTTGATCTGTTGCCCAGGCTCAAGTACAGCGACACTATCTCGGCTCACTGCAACCTCTACCTCCCAGGTTCAAGCAATTCTCCTGCCTCAACCTTCCCAGTAGCTGGGATTAAAAGTGCCCAGCACCATGCCCAGTGAATTTTTGCATTTTTAGTAGAGAGGGGTTTCACCACGTTGGCCAGGCTTGTCTCAAACTCCTGACTTCAGGTGATCCACCTGCCTTGGCCTCCCAAAGTACTGGGATTATACGCATGAGCAACCACACCTAACCCAGATGACAATTTTTAAAAAAGATATACTTGGCCGGGTACACTGGCTCACGCCTGTAATCCCAGCACTTTGGGAGGCCGAGGTGGGCGATCACCTGGGGTCAGGAGTTTGAGACCATCCCAGCCAAATGGCGAAACCTTGTCTCTAATAAAAATACAAAAATTAGCTGGCAGTGGTGGCGTGTGCCTGTAATCCCACCTACTCCAAAGGCTGAGGCAGGAGAATCACTTGAACCCAGGAGGCAGAGGTTGCAGTGAGCCAAGATTGTGTCGCTGTACCGCATCACTGCACTTGAGCCTGGGCGACAGAGTGAGACTCCTTCTCAAAATTTAAAAAAAAAAAGATATACTCAATGTTGGGGATGATACACTGAGATGGACACCCACTGGACATACTATTTTTCTTAAAAGGAATCTGACATTAAATATGAAAATCTATTTGACCAAATAACTCTTACATCAAAAATGCTATACAATGAAAATAAATCATAATGCAAAGATTTATGCAGAAAGATACTCAAGGCATTGCTATTATGTTTTTGGGGTTTTTTTTTTGAGACAGAGTTTTGCTCTTGTCACCCAGGCTGGAGTGCAATGGCGTGATCTCGACTCACTGCAACCTCCGCCTACCGGGTTCAAATGATTCTCCTGCCTCAGCCTCCCAAGCAGCTGAAGCTTACAGGTGCTTGCCACCATGCCCAGCTAAATATTGTATTTTTAGTAGAGATGGGGTTTCACCATCTTGGCCAGGCTGGTCTCGAACTCCTGACCTCAGGTGATCAACCCGACTCAGCCTCCCAAAGTGTTGGGATTACAGGGGTGAGTCACTGCACCTGGCCTATTATTTTTTTTTTAATTGAAAATTGGCAACTAATTGCTCAACAGGGACTGGTAAATTTGGGTTCATGTTTATGCATAGCCATTAAAATGTGTTAATGATATGAGAAATTGCTTATGACAACACTAAATAACCTTTATAATAATTGGTTATTATACAACACTAAATAACCTTTGATCTTAGCTTTGTTAAAATAAATACAGTAGATATGGCATAAAGTACTAAAAAGCAGGGCTTTCAAAGTACTAAAAGCAGGGCTGAGTGTGGTGGCTCACCCTTGTAATCCCGGCTCTTTGGAAGGCAGAGGTGGATGATTGCCTGAGGTCGGGAGTTCGAGACCAGCCTGGTCAACATGGTGAAACCTGGTCTCTACTAAAATTATAAAAATTAGCTGGGAGTGGTGGCACGTGCCTGT